AGGTTTATCCTTCCCACGAGCCCAGATCCTGGGGACCATTAACATCATGTCCCTTTGGGCTATACCCAAACCCCATGGATGTAGACCTGGCTTTTTTATCATATGAGCTCACACACAAGCTCAGGACTCTAAAGTCACATTTTGCTTAGTGACTTGACAGCTGTAGGACCAGATTTTCAGACGTGATGAGCAGACATGGTGCTGTCTAAATGGAGCACAGTAATGCCCTGAGCACATCCAAGGACAGGGAGCATCCAGCAAACAAAGTCCACAAGATCCTCAAAGTAATGGGGAGTGATCAACCTGGCTATACAACATGTATATGTATATAGGCATATATAAATGTATATATACCCACACTATTGGCTATATAAAGCAGGACCATTAACACCAGCCTCACTTCACAGAGATGTGCGCCGTCCCACAGCCATGAGGCAGAGTTTCTCCCAAGACCTACATGGACGTGTGCCAGCAGTTTGCTCCCACAGCACTTGAGTGTGTCACAGACACGAACTGCTCAGATGCCTCCCATGCTACTGTGTTCATGCTAGTGTCTTTGTGATAAATTACTCCTTTCAAAATAAACATGGTGAAATTCTTAGAACTCATCTAAGCAGCAAAGGAAATCCCCTGAATGAAGTGGGCTCAGCGCTCCCAGAGCCTGGGAGTTGCACGCGGAGGAACTTTGCTTATTTAACACAGAGGCTTTCTCCAGGGTAATAAAACTCTCGCATTGTCGTGCCAGGGATTTTCCATTAGGTGTGTGTCGGCTGGCGGTGGGAGCTACAGTTTCTGTGGCTGGTCATGGAAATGAGGTGAGATCACCCAGAAGCTGACCACAGATCCCAGTGAGTTCCCAACAGGAAGAGCTGCGAGGGCAGCTCAGAGAGGGACTATTAGCTTGAATAGAGCTAATGGGTCCCCCAAATTGCTAATGGAGCATGACTGCTAATTAGAGCCTGAGAAAAGAGGCCCAACCTTTCCCTGATTTCCCTCCACATGATGGAAAGGCTCTCACCATACAAGTTAAGTAAAGCAGACGCATGTCTCCAATGTGTCCTTGCCTTGCTGCAATCCCAGAAGGAACCCCAGAGTAAGGAGGCCAGTGCTACATGTTAGTCTCCCACCAACCACAGGGCTCTCTAGGGAACACAGAAGTCGAATCCTATACAACCCCCAGTTATTTCTACTGTTCTAGACAGAAGAGACTGCGTGGTAGGAGTTCACCCAGTGGAATCGCTCTGCTCAAGGTAGCAGTGATTTCATGGGGGGATTCATGACCCTGTCTCAGAAGACTCTGTGGCTAGAGAACCTGGAACCACTTGTCTCTTATTGGTGAGGACAATAACTGAAGGACCTGGACCCTTGACTGGGTCAAGCCAAATTCTTGGCTAGAACAGCATTGTGCTAGGAGCAGCCTAAAGACAGAAGATCCACCACACTAGAGCAGGGGAGGTTCTTCCTGCTCACCCCAATGTGCGCACGGTATGATGGTGTGAAAGGGAGTTGCTTCTAAAAGAGTGAATGGAAGGAGACTTGGGTCTGCAACCATATGGTTGTAGTCATTACGTTTTTCCTTATAGAGGGAAAAAAGTGGAACATTTTTCCATTAAGAGCACCTCAGCCTTCCTTCTTACTAAGAATTCATTTTATGAGACATTGCTGCAGAAAGACGTCAATTAGTGCTCATGGTCTTTAACCTGCCGCCTCTCGATAATACTCTCCCTACTAGTTACAATAAACTAGTGCAATAAGCCAACTGATAAGGCCCATAAAAGCACTGAGAGTTTGGCCATGAAACAGAAGTACATATATTGACTATAGATGCCCCTACTGATATCAGATTTCATCATGGAAACACTAATGCACAGTAAACAGGCAATATTTCCCTCACAAGATCATGATACCATCACAGAGCTCCCTTTCAAACCAGGTCAATACCATTCTACTGTTTCATGATGTAAGATTTCAGAATGGGCCCAATGCCTCCAAAGCACCAAGGCATATTGACAACGGTGACACAGAGCCACTGAGGCATCCCAGCACTTCTCCTGAAGGAGTGCTGGCTAGTTTGACCTTCAAAGATCACCTTCTGTTCAGAATCACCACAATATCCCACAGGAAAAGACCAATGGATATTTTTATTAGGTCTTTAAGGAGTATAAACTCTGACCTGGCTGCTTAATGGCATGATTCGCCCAGACACATCCTGAAGAGACAGTGCTGCTTTCAATCTGTGTGGGATGCTAAACAACTCCTGTTTCCTCTACAGTCAAGTGCATGGGGTGTGCTTGTATGTACAGGACAAATGCTGACTAAGTGGAATTATATTCAGTCTTATGAGATTTCATGACCACGTGTAGCAAAACAGTGCTAAAATTACTTATGAAAGAATCTCTCAAAGCAGAATTTATTCTTTAGCAAGACCCCAGCAGAAAACCCTGGAGTTCAAGTTTACATTTTACTGTGGAGAAGTCAAGAAGGAACCACAAAAGTTCCTCCTGCAGTTCCCATGAAACCTGAATCCAAACCTTACCCTGGCTCGTGGGCTCTGTAAATTCCTGTTTTCAAAACACTCCCTTCTGGGTAAACACAAACAAAGCAGCCATCCAAATTCAGAGCTGGGGAGCAGATTTTTTAAATCAGGAATGACACTGCAAGGGAAGCCAAGCTATCCAGCATGGTTCCTAGAGCCTCTGGCAGGTTCCTCCCTGTTTTCCTTAAAAATTGATGGTGGGTATGAAGAAAGCATCGAATCTAGATTTTTTAGTCTCCCTTGAAAATCAAGCAATGTGATTCTAGCTGGAAGGCTGCATAGTAGTATGGAAGATCCCCAGAGATGTTCTGGCAGTGCTATAAGCAACATGATCATGCAGGAATGGCAGAAAAGGGATCAAGGAAGCCAGAAGGTGCAGCTGTATAGAGGGAAAACCAAACACAAAGTGACAGTGAGAAAGAAAAGAGCTCTAGAGAAACAAAACCTGAGAGGAAGATGCGTCTAAAAGAGGTGCAACAAGTTCAGCTTTTGCAGAAGCACCATGAATTTCTTTATAATCTCTCTCCTTGGCTGAGCCTTCAAATCATGAGAAGGCTCTAAATGATCTGAAAGCAACTGCATCCCACTGGAAGGATGGGTCTAGCCAGCAGTAGATTGTATGAAAACAGGGAATAAGGGAAGGAATGAAATAAAGAGAGAATCTTAATGTGCATGGCGGGGAAAACAGTGAAATAACATGTTGTGAATGGATGTACCTTTTTATAAAATATTTTCAGGAGCCAACAAGGAAAAGGGGTCTGATCCCTACAGTATTCTGTGCATAGCAGTGGGCATCCTGTTGATTCATCGGCAGGCTTGTTCCTTCATGGCAAGAAAACATTTCTGAAGACACAGGCTGCTGAGGCTAAATGATTAAATGCCAGAAACTCCACAGGCATCAGGCATCAACAACCAGGCCATCGCAGAGCACCTCTGAAGAGCATCCTGCCCTGCCTGGCCTCTTAGCAGTGTGTACACCAGGCCATTTAGATATAAAATTTTATTTTACGATCTGGCATGTTACATTAGTCTAGGCTTGGCATTAAACAGCTACTATATTCTGTCTCGCATCCAGAAGGACGGCTGTCTTAAGTCAGCGCTAAAGGAACTTTAAAATAAAACATAACATACGTTCAGGATGACTAATATGTTCCCTGATGCTGGGTTACACAGACCATATTGGAAAAGCTGCTTTATTTTGTGTCTGTAGTTTAGAAAATGAGAGATTGTGAGATTTTAAGGCAATAAAATCCCATGTTCAGTTAGTCACGTCGGCCATAGCTGCTACAGGAGGGTGACGACAACGTACTCAACCCATCATATGTTTCAGTCTTGCTAGGTCCTAGCTTGCTCCCTAAATCACTTTAAGACCTAACTATTATGGGTTGCACCGATGAGAATGTGATGGGGAAAGGTTCATCCTCCATCGGGCGAGTTTTCTTCTCTGTGCATTTACCAGTCCCTGCTGACTAACCGAGCTGTGCACGTGGATGCATCCGTCTAGGTCAGAGGTAAGCTGTTCTGCACAAACACGCAGGTTTCCTTTCATAAAGCATTATTTTACTCTTTTGGTTAGATAGTTTAATCATCTGTTAATGAAATATTTTAAAATAAAAGCAATCTTCAACAGGTAACAGCAGGGAGAAAACCACAACCACTGACTAATTAAAGCCTTTTTCTAGCATACAAAAACCAAGACTACCAAATGACAAGGAGAAGTCATGAATCCGGCTAGGAATCTCTCAAATCTCGTTATGCCCCTCTGAAATGAATGGGAAGGATGATCTTGAAGCATGAGCTTTAATTGTAGCCCACAAAGATGCAGCTGGTTAACTGATTCTTATTTTTTTGATAACATAAAACAGTAATATTAGACCAGCGCTGAATTACAGAAGAGCATGCTGAATTACCTGGACCTAAGACTAGGAAACATCGCAAATTTATATCTTGCATCCGTTCTGGTTTGACCCACTTTGGTTGGGTAGGATTAAAACCACATAAATGCAAGCCATCCTTTCTCCCGCACCTAAAGCCCCAATACCCAGAAAGATCTTCCCAATTTCCCCATCATAATGGTAACAAACATTAGGAAGTTCATTTTCAGAAGGCGGCTCTGGAAAGCTTTAGGAGATCTGGAGTACACTCCTGTAACATCACAGACAGCTGCAGGAAGTATTTTTGCTCTTCAGACATCTTCCCTCAACCTTGCTGAGAGAAGATATAGAGGTACTTGCTAACTTGAAGATAATTCAGAAACGAAACTGAATGCAGTTCTGGAGCACACACTGATCTTGCGGATCAAGTTTACTTAAGGTAGAAGCAAAAAACAAGCTGAAATCCAACTATAGCTGGCCTTCTCCTGCTCATCTCCACGTGACACCTTCCCTGACTTGTCATCATTGTTATCAATAGCTCCCATACAACTGCCTGCCATACAGAAAGAGAAGTAAAACAAGACACTTACCCTCCTTCAAAGATCTTGATCCTGACTGGCTCCCCTTTTTTGGTTACCAGAGCCTCTTCTTCTGATTTTCCTCTTTTATCCTCTTCCTTTTCAGCTCTAGTTATGTCTTTTCGACCTTCATTAGAAAGGAGCGAAGGCAAATGAACCTACCTCCCCAAAAGAGCAAAACAATCATTGATTACATACAAAATCACTCTACAAACGACACAGACCAAACACTGCAGGCAGCCCCAGAAACAGCCAGCAACCTACCACCCTTGCTGCTCTTGATAACAGGCTGTAAGCACCATAAATTACAATGTCCTCTTAATAAATAGGGCCTCCACTTCAGGATGTTGAGCCCTGTTGGTTATGTCGTATTTCGAGTGACAGCTTACAGCAGAGGACATGTTTAAATGACCTCCTGCAGTACAGCGGCTAAATATCATCCATCTCTTGCCAACTGGAAAACTGAGGCATAGAGAGAAATATCTTGGCTGGAGTCACTCTGAACACACGGCAGAGCCCAAGGTCTCTGTTCCCAAATTCCTTCCTCGGTCTTTGGATGACTGTATATCTATATATGTATCCACAAAATTCTGGAGGGGAGACAGCTCTAGAATTCATATAATTAACTTCAAGTTGTGGGTTTCCCCTCCACACACACACACAAGTTTGGATTTTAGCCATTCTAGCTATAAAAATCACTTGACAGTCTAAGATCCCGGGTGATTTCCTTTCACTGAAACTATGCTGCCATGGGTGCAATACATAAAAAACCACAAAACCATTGAGGGAAAACAGTCCTTCATCTCCCCAAATGTTCCAAGGGTGAAATTTGCTTTTCCTTCTGTTAAAGGAAAAGCTGCCCTTCATTTAGATCCAGGCTGGCCTTCGTTTAGACCCAGGCTTAAATCATGCACTGACATGCCATCTACCAGGTCTAATGTTATTTTTACATGATACGGACCTAAACAGGAGAGCTGCCTCTCTATCTCTGTGGAAGATAGAGCAAGGGGACCTCCACACACCTAGAATGAAACTTGGGGACATTGCCCTGCTACAACCTACCGGTGCAAAAACAGGATCTCCAAAGATCTGAAAGAGGAAAATTAAGTTGCCTTTCACTCAGGCTACTTTTGATATAGTGTGGGAGCAAACAGGACACACGTGCTTCTGAAGTTCAAATGAGTCGCTCAAAGTCGCATTTCATGTATAGTTTGTGGCAGAAGATTGAGGGCCGTTGTGAGAAGTGGTAGAAGCCTCCGCCAGAGCTGGTCACCTTTGGTTCTTCACAGTCACACGAAGAGTGGCAGCTCCCAAGGGTGATTCATTTGCCCTACCTTAGACACTTATCTAAGGTGGGATGAATCACCTAGGAGGTGCCTCTTTGTCTCCTATAGCTCCAAGGGAAGCCAAGAGTGACCAGCTCAGTCTGAGACATGAAATCCAGGGATGTGCAATCCAGGTTCCACAACAGCATGGTGCTGGATGTGTGCAGCAGGAGGAGGGATGGACACACCGACAAGCAGCTTTGTGGCACTGAGGCCAGCAGCGTCAGGAGTCCAGTTTAGAGCACTCCTGCTCGCACATCTGTGCTGGGATATTAAAGGCATCTGGGGCTTTTCCCTACCCTTGGGGCCAATTTGCACATATTATATCACATCCTTGCTATTGGGTCCTTACATCCTGCCAAACAGTCTGCTGGGGGGGCCCTGGCCTGTACTATCTCTCTAAGAGTGCCCAGGAATTGTTTGAGAGAGGGATAATCACCCCAGGTCAGAATTGCATCCCTCAGGCCTGTATTTTTGGGCACAGATTCTGTGCTTGGAGGAAATCAGTGGCAGGAGACAACACTTAGACCCTCTGAAAAACAAACATGAGGCCTTCTGACTTCTCTTGATGCTAGCTCTGCATTCACAAAAATGCTACTGATAACAACCCCATTCCAGTTCCCTTTTTTGCTGCGGAGTACACAATTACTTTCTAGATGAGGTCCTAGGTTTATTTTATTGCCTCTTTTTAAAGCACAAATACATACAGATGAAAGGCACTGGAGAGGGCCAAAATCACACAGACACTATTACCCCCTATAATCTCTTATAATTTACAAATCGTGCAGCCCAATACAGTATAATTAAGCATCTCTGTATGCACGCTGCAGCCTACAGTCACTTCAGAATTGATCTGCTCAGTAAATCTCACTAATAATTTAAAAATCAAGTCAAGTACTTAGGCAGCATATCCTTGGTACCACTTGCGGGTAGCTTGCTGCATGCATAATTGCATGAAATATTGGAGCTATTTTCCATTTTCTGTCATGTTTGCTGACAGCTTAGAGTTACATAAAGGAGAAAATATTTAAGGAAAACAACTAGAATGGAGTTCACTGCGGGTTGAACTTTCAACCCTCTGATTGATGCTACTGCTATGCACCTCCTGTTAATCACATCTTCCTGAGTAACCAGTAACATGACTTCCTCTTCTCTGCCAGTCATGTATTTTAAAAACTAAACTGAGAATTTCACTCCCACTGATCGTCTAATTAAAAATTATTTCTCTACTTGGCATGAGGTCAATTTAGCTCCATTGAAATTAACATAATTTCTGGAAAAAAACTCTCCTTTAAGCAGCAGGTATTAATATTAAAATCAGGCTACCCCATTTCCTAGATGAATTTTCCAGTTACATCAAGACAAACTCTCTCTTTTGCAGACTACACCATAAAAATCTTAATTATCACAATCAGTCACTTTGTAGAGTTTTATCTAGAAGGTTTTTTGATTTTTTTAGGTTAATATATGCCATAAAGCATATCTAAGGGTTATGTCAGCCCTAACTAGAGCTTAACCTTTGATTTCAGGACTATTAAATACTTTATATCAGCATTTCAGTGCCTGTCACAGAGTCAAGTTTAGAGGAGCACAGGCATTTCCATTAGAGAATGAGACCAGTAATGATACTGCATCTTACAGATAAAATCCTTTGAAAAAATAGTGCATAAATATCAAGCATTGGTGCAGTTATTGCAATGCACAAGTAATTATCTGTCCCCAGATCCTTAGAAATTCTGTCTTTGGGATTTCAGCAGAAGAATGATGGAAATGCTGAATAGAAATAAAGACTTATTGAATCACAGTGACTCTAATGTGTATTTTAAGACTTATGTATAAGCAGCAGCTGCAGCAGTAATTATGATAAATTTAATATTCAGAGCTCATATGATTTAGAAGTAAAATGAATAATCCATCAATATAAATTGACTTGAGATGAATATCAAGTTGCAAATTCTTTAGAGCAATTCTGTTTGCTAATCTACATGAACATGACCTGGATTAAAGGGATATGTATGGTTTAGCATTAACTGAGAGGGGGAAAACCTGGATTTAAAATGAGGTGAAAAACATTAGTCTGTTACCACTGGTGTCTTACAGATGTCTTTGTCCATGGGGACAATGACTTTGGAGAGCCCTGGTGCTGGGAAGCTGTTCATCTTGCTGCTCTTAACGTTAAATACCAAGAATAAAACATTCTTAGATACCTAGAAAGGCAGGTAGACACCTAAATACATTAAACAAATGGACTAAACAACATGGGTTTCAGCAAGACCCCCATGCCTAACCTACTGTGGCACTTTTAAATATCACTACATATCCATACATTTAGTGGGTGCCTAAATACCCTGGCAAATCTCCCTTTAATATTTTTAAATATTTCAAAGTATGCTTTTCCATCTTCATTCATGTGAAATCAAGTGGATTCACAACCAGATAGAATCCCATTTCGCCAAGCTAATCCTTTTGCATTTATAACATGCAAAAAGTCAGGAATTACGAGAGTGTCCATAAAAAGAAAGTTGTAAAGATATTTGAAATATCAAGGCACAAAGGCAAATCAAGTTTAATCCTTTGTTCTCAGGCCGTGGTAGTTCACAGGGTAGTTGTGATTCCTACAGGACCTTTTGGATTACAAGGCAAGTAGAAACTGGAAAACAAAAACACGGCACACTGCCTCCGAGCCTTTCTTTTGGATAATAGTGCAGTTTAGCTTCTTCCTTCTAAAAGCTTCACTGAGAAGAAGCGTTTAACAAAGTGAACAGTTGTAATTCCCCTTCCCTCACCTCCCTCCCACCGCCCCAATTCCCAAGTATCCGAACAGTTAAGGAGAAGAGCACATGCCCGGGTTACCTCTGTCATTTTGGGCTTCCGGGAGCTGGACGGGACAAGCCTGCCTGCATCTGGCCGTGGAGCTGTAGCCATGGTGTAGGTCTCCTTGCTCACCTTCTGCTTGGACCTCAGGAGGGATAGTGCTGCTTTAGTGGATATACCGGGAAGGTTAGGATTATACAAGCTAATACACCAGCTGGCATACACTGAGGAGCGTCGGTCGACTTGCTGGATGTGATTTGGCTTTATGTAGTTTAAATAGCACCAACTGACATTAGTGGTTGTGTGGAGGCTGGGGAATTGAAGTACCTTCTTCATATCTGTACCTTCTCGAGACTTCATTGCACTGTGAGTAACCTCAGGCTGAGGTGCAGGGCTTGGAGGCTTGGATGGAGACGGCTCCACCAGCTCTTTGGGGTCTTCTTTCTTCACGGTTTGCAAAGGTGCCTTGCTGAGGAACTGCTTGCCAGCTGGCTGCTTATACTCTTCTAGTATCTCGAAACTTGAAGAAGAACCTGAATGGGGGACAGCTTGCTGTGAAGTACTTGGGATTTCCTTTGGCTCTGACCGGTCTAAGGACAAACTAGGTGGTGTTTCAACCTCCACCCGACCTTGGCTTTCTGCAAGAAAGTGAGATTTATCCTGCTTTTTCCCTTTCTCTATTGAACTGGGTGGCTTCACCACTTCCAACTTCTCTTCCGCTTCAGACACTTCCTCCTCTTTCACTCTTTTCTGCTGCTGTGTTTCCATCGTCAGCTCCAAACTGCCAGCTGGAGAGAGCATACGTTTGCTTCCACCAACTGTTGATGGACCTCCTTCCAACCCGAGGACACTATCTGATGGGGAAGTGAGTGGCATATAGCCTTTCCGTTCTGGTAAGGGCAAGGGTACTCGCAGATAGGGGCTCTGGAAAATGCTTCTTTGATCTTCTGTGATCATTTGTGCCAGATCAAAACCTAGTCCATGAACATCAGTGCTACAGACCAGGGTACCCTTGGCCTGGTGATCATCAAATTTTGGGAGAACAATAG